GCTTCTTGTGCTGTGCTTTTCTCTTCCTCCAATGCTTTTTGAGCTTGCAACAGTTCTTTCTTCATGTTTTCATTCTCGTTTTCTGCCTGTTGTTTTCTTATCTTCTCTCCTTTAAGTTTGAGACCCACATCCAGTAATTCCTGCAATACTACTTCAGTTTCAAACTTTGAATTTTTAGCTTCTCCTCTTGATTTTTCTGCCTCTTCTTTTAATTTGACATTTTCAGCCTGTATCATTTGAAATTTAAAATGAATCAGCTGTACTGTATTGTGAGGTGAAGCACTCGCCGATCCTCTTCTCGATCTCCCTTGATTCATTTTGGCCTTTTAAACAAAGGAACCAACGTTTTGTAGAGGAGTGAAGTGAAGTGTTTGATGTTTCTTCGTCAACTGTCGTTTGTCCTGCACAGAGATGCTGCTGTAGATGTGTCTCTAGCTGTGTCTGGATACAATGAAACATGCTGGAACTAAGTGCTTGTGTTGCACAGTTCTACTAAACATTCCATTTCATGCATGCTCCGCCCACATGGTCAGGAATGTCAGGTGCTGCATCTCCAAATGCTGCTCCCGTTGCCTAGCAATATCAGCTGTTTACTTTTTGGGGTCTGGTTCATTGTTTAATAAAGAAAACATGTCCAAGTATTGGGTGCTGAGGCTCAGCGCATATTCTAGCCTGCTGTGTGGGTGGGCAGCTAGAAATCACTGGTGGGCAACATGAGTGAGGAGAAAACTGGAGCAGCCAAGCAGGGAGCTGCAGGTTGCTGGTTTGAGTCTCTGTTCAGATGCTGGTGTCTCCTCTCTCTGAGATGTCTGCAAACAGTCCCAGATAAAACAATAAGGATAATAAACAAACACGTGACTAAAATAACAATTATGACTCTGATGTGTTTCATGTGTAGCAGGATGGCCTCTATACAGCAGTCGCTGCAAGCATCCACATCGCCACACTTACTATTCTTTAAGCAGGCGTGCTGGGCTCCTCCTAAGGAAAGTTTGAAACTTCATTTCCTTCATGCTGGTGAACTTTTTACCAAATATTTTCATCAAAGCTTCTCCATCACTGACAGGGATTGTTTGGATCTTCACACTCATCTCCACCAACCCTAAAAAATGAGTCTCACTTTGCTCATATAATGCCAGGAGTGTCTCCATATTCCACAAAAGTCTATGCAAACATGTAACAGTATCCCATATTCATAGAAATATTATTGATATTATAACAAAAGCTGTCACCAACACAATTGTCCCAAGTGCTTTTTTTTTATTAGTTATTGCAAATGCTTGACTGCAGTTCTTGCTAGATGACAAAACCACTTATTAGGTTTAGAAGGAAATGACTTTTTCTACATGAGGTAAAGTTGGAGAGCTGTTTCCCCAAACTAAATGAAATCATCATTTGAAAAACTACAATCTGTATTTACTCTGAACATCTGTGTTAACATTTGAAATTGGAAACATGTAAGTGTAACAAACATGTTAAAACATAAGAAATCAGGAAGGGGCATGTATAGGAATTTCTTTTACTTATGCATTAATCACATTATTTTATTGTATGATACCTTGGTGCCACTGGATTTTAACATGTCTCACACTCATACAGTAAGACAAATGCTGGGGGTCTAGTAAGGAAGTTGGGGGAAGCAGACAACTCCACAGGAAGAGTCTTTTGTGTCTTTGAGGACTCTGGTAGGAAGCAAGGGAGTGTGAACCTTAAGGTGTGAAACAGCTGTGTACTGCCTTTTGTTCCTGGAGAAGGTATTTAACTGAGAGCCATGCTAGGCTCAGGGAGACTCTGCTGACCGTCTGTCCCGCGGTCATGCAGGGACTTCATCAAGCTTGCTTGTCTGTTCTTTGTGTGTTTTGATTAAAGAATGTTAGCTACCGCTCACCGCTCGTCTGCAGGCTTTATTTAAATGGAAAACTTCCACAACAGGCAAAAAAAAAAGCTTTTTGCTAAAAAAAAAAAAAGATTTAGAGCAGAAGTTTTTTGCACTGCATTTTAAAATGAAAACATATTGCATTTATTTGCAATTAAAAACACACAGAGCAGAAAGTGTGTTACTGTTTTACATCCACAGACACACAAGAAAAGAAGCAGGCAACATGAGGTCAAGTTATGGCAATTTTATTTTTGTATGTCAGTACATGCATTCAGAATAGAGTTTTTAAAAAACAAACAAACGTCCCAAGTAAAGTTTGGGGGGATTTTTGTGAAAGAAAGGTTGAGAGAGGGGGAAGGAGGAAGATGCTGCTGGGTCAGTTCTTTCTCAGCAGTCTGCTCCAGAATCCCCTCCTGTCCTCGGCTTGCTTTTCTTTTGCCTTCAGCTCTTTTAAGGTTTTGTTGAGCTGCTCCTCGGCATCTTTAAATGTTTCTTTCAGCTGCTGTTTGGCCAGTTTCCCTTTGTGTTTGAGGAGCTCTTTAGCTTCCTTTTTGTGCTTTTGTATTTCTTTAAGTTCATCTTTGCAGCCTTTCTTGGTCACCGTCGTTTCTTTCTTGAATACCTTCAACTCAATTTTCCCTTCTGCAAGTTCCTCTTGCACTTTCATCAGTTCCTCCTTCATGTTTTGAGTGTAACTCTTTGTATCTTCCATTTCTTTCTTTGCTTCCTGTATTTTAATTTTCTCTTCCTCCAACACTTTTTGAGCTTCCAACAATTCTTTCTTCATATTTTCAATCTCATTTTCTGTCTCGTGTTTACATTTTTTCTCCTCTTCAAGTTGTTGCTTCACATGCAGTAATTCCTTCCTTAGTGTTTCAGCTTCAGCCATTACATTTGCAGCGTCTTGTGTTGCCAACTGCATTTTGCTTTTTTCCTCCTCAAAAGCTTCCTGCACCTCCTGTAATTCCTGCATCACATTTCCTGCCTCCTTCTTTGCAGTTTGATATTTATTTTTGGCTTCTTGTGCTGTGCTTTTCTCTTCCTCCAATGCTTTTTGAGCTTGCAACAGTTCTTTCTTCATGTTTTCATTCTCGTTTTCTGCCTGTTGTTTTCTTATCTTCTCTCCTTTAAGTTTGAGACCCACATCCTGTAATTCCTGCAATACTACTTCAGTTTCAAACTTTGAATTTTTAGCTTCTCCTCTTGATTTTTCTGCCTCTTCTTTTAATTTGACATTTTCAGCCTGTATCATTTGAAATTTAAAATGAATCAGCTGTACTGTATTGTGAGGTGAAGCACTCGCCGATCCTCTTCTCGATCTCCCTTGATTCATTTTGGCCTTTTAAACAAAGGAACCAACGTTTTGTAGAGGAGTGAAGTGAAGTTTTCGATGTTTCTTCGTCAACTGTCGTTTGTCCTGCACAGAGATGCTGCTGTAGATGTGTCTCTAGCTGTGTCTGGATACAATGAAACATGCTGGAACTAAGTGCTTGTGTTGCACAGTTCTACTAAACATTCCATTTCATGCATGCTCCGCCCACATGGTCAGGAATGTCAGGTGCTGCATCTCCAAATGCTGCTCCCGTTGCCTAGCAATATCAGCTGTTTACTTTTTGGGGTCTGGTTCATTGTTTAATAAAGAAAACATGTCCAAGTATTGGGTGCTGAGGCTCAGCGCATATTCTAGCCTGCTGTGTGGGTGGGCAGCTAGAAATCACTGGTGGGCAACATGAGTGAGGAGAAAACTGGAGCAGCCAAGCAGGGAGCTGCAGGTTGCTGGTTTGAGTCTCTGTTCAGATGCTGGTGTCTCCTCTCTCTGAGATGTCTGCAAACTGTCCCAGATAAAACAATAAGGATAATAAACAAACACGTGACTAAAATAACAATTATGACTCTGATGTGTTTCATGTGTAGCAGGATGGCCTCTATACAGCAGTCGCTGCAAGCATCCACATCGCCACACTTACTATTCTTTAAGCAGGCGTGCTGGGCTCCTCCTAAGGAAAGTTTGAAACTTCATTTCCTTCATGCTGGTGAACTTTTTACCAAATATTTTCATCAAAGCTTCTCCATCACTGACAGGGATTGTTTGGATCTTCACACTCATCTCCACCAACCCTAAAAAATGAGTCTCACTTTGCTCATATAATGCCAGGAGTGTCTCCATATTCCACAAAAGTCTATGCAAACATGTAACAGTATCCCATATTCATAGAAATATTATTGATATTATAACAAAAGCTGTCACCAACACAATTGTCCCAAGTGCTTTTTTTTTATTAGTTATTGCAAATGCTTGACTGCAGTTCTTGCTAGATGACAAAACCACTTATTAGGTTTAGAAGGAAATGACTTTTTCTACATGAGGTAAAGTTGGAGAGCTGTTTCGCCAAACTAAATGAAATCATCATTTGAAAAACTACAATCTGTATTTACTCTGAACATCTGTGTTAACATTTGAAATTGGAAACATGTAAGTGTAACAAACATGTTAAAACATAAGAAATCAGGAAGGGGCATGTATAGGAATTTCTTTTACTTATGTATTAATCACATTATTTTATTGTATGATACCTTGGTGCCACTGGATTTTAACATGTCTCACACTCATACAGTAAGACAAATGCTGGGGGTCTAGTAAGGAAGTTGGGGGAAGCAGACAACTCCACAGGAAGAGTCTTTTGTGTCTTTGAGGACTCTGGTAGGAAGCAAGGGAGTGTGAACCTTAAGGTGTGAAACAGCTGTGTACTGCCTTTTGTTCCTGGAGAAGGTATTTAACTGAGAGCCATGCTAGGCTCAGGGAGACTCTGCTGACCGTCTGTCCCGCGGTCATGCAGGGACTTCATCAAGCTTGCTTGTCTGTTCTTTGTGTGTTTTGATTAAAGAATGTTAGCTACCGCTCACCGCTCGTCTGCAGGCTTTATTTAAAGATCTTGAAATGGACATGTGTTTCCTTGAGAAATAAAATGATTATTGTCTCATCTTTCAATAATAAAGTCTTCTAAAGGAGAAGTTCCTGTGGGGGTTATGAGAAAAGGTCCACAAAGTTGCAGTGACTTTACTTTTATTCATTTTTGTTTTTGCATCTTCTTTGCTGACGTTCTCCCTCTCTGTGTTTCAGGTGTGAGAGCACAGTACAGCTCCAGAGAGTCCCCAACACTGACAGTTTCTGTCTGATCCTCCCTCCCAATCTGAAGTCAGCCATCGCTGCTGTGACATACATGGCCGAGCAGCTGAAGAAGCAGGACACGGATGACTCGGTGAGTGTCAAGCAGCTTGTTATTCACTCTGCCTACAGTTCCTGAGTACAGATTGTTCCAGACATGCCCTAGCGATGTTCTTGTGTCATTACCTACTTACGGTACATTGCTGACTCAGTTTTGTGTCTACGTGTGTGCGTTCTCTGCAGCTGACAGGAGACTGGCAGTTCATCGCCCTGGTGGTGGACCGTCTCTTCTTGTGGTTGTTTGTCATCATCACCACCCTGGGAACTCTGGCTATGTTCCTGGATGCCAGTTTCAATTACACACCTGACAACCCCTTCCCATAGTGGATTCCATATGCACAGCAGCTGGAGTTTGATTCATTGTTGCCACTTTACTTCTACTTCTTGTTGGTGCTTTCCGAGATCCCCGGATCTAACTTTCCATAATATCTATTCCATAGGTGTGTAGTCAGCCTCTGAAATGCTTTGTAATTAACTTAACAAGTAGAAGCATGCCTGTGATTTCATACCACAGAAATCGTGTAAAACAGTGATTTCTCTAAATGATCCAAATAACTATATAACAATGTGTGATAGTTTTTTTCATTTTTTTTAGTCTAACACTTGAAATACTTGTTTGTTTGGTTTTTGTAACACTCATGTTTAATGTAATTTGAAATACAGTAGTTAGCTTTTGACTCTGTTGCCCTTTGACATGTATCTGTGGTCAGATTCTGGGACTGTAATGTTGAACTTTTAGCAGTAGAGGGCAGTGACATAATGTTCAAAGATAGAGTCACTGCTGAGGAAAGAAAGGTATTTTTAAAGAGGCGTGTTTTTGCTTATGCCTTTGCATGTATAATTTAAGAATATTTAATTTTTAACTACAACTAAATATTAAGATATATATGTGCTCTGTACTTATGAACTATGCTTTTAACACAGTGCAATTTTCCTAAAACCCAAATAAGTACATTTGACTCTGTAGTGTTTAAATCATTTATCTAGCATTAATGATAATTTTTGTATTTTTTATTTACCTTAACCAGAAATGTATGACTAATTTATATTGGTGAAGAGAAAGAGTATGTCACTTTAATACTTTTAATATTCTAAAGGTTCATAAGACTAGATAAAGAAGGAAAACATATTTATAGAAAATACAGAATGCTCAGTTTATTATGTTCTCTGTGGAAGGAAGGGAGGAAGGGTTAGATGCAAAGAGTTTAACTATTTTAGCATATTTCTTTAGCCCTAATCCGAATCACTGGGGTCCATACACCCCAAACCCTACAGGAATATTTTCGTAATATCTCGCACGTGTTTTTTTTTCTATCATTCCGATTTTTATGATTTTGTCAGTGCCGTGAAATCATTGTTTTCTATTCTTGCTTTGCTTAGTGCTTTTTACAAATACAAATGTTTTGAGGTGCCAGGGGACCCCAGTTGAAAGCACCGAATTCCACCTCTGCAGTTTTAATAAACGGAAGTATTTGTTTACTTAATATTTGTCATGGGCTCTAAATTAACACACCGTGTCCAGGGGACTAGGTGCACACTGACAGTCATTTTTAAAAAAAGAAAGACTTCATTGCTGACTTCATTACCTGGATGGGAAGTGGGAGACAATGCTGGATCTACTGTACCTGTGAGAGCTGCAGCATGCCTCGGTCATACCACACATGAAAAGGAGAGCAGATACTGCTACATTGCATGTTTACTCTGAGCAGCAATGACCTTTCTAGGAGTTAGGAAACCTCCACCTGCTGACTGACAAGTACGCTGTTGGAAGATCTAGTTAACCAAAGAGTTTCCTTTGCCCCTGATTCACAGACAGGAAGGTTGAAACTATTTGCTCCTTTTTTCATTGCTAGCATAGCATGCGGAAAATACTACAACTGCCCATTCCGTCTGGCTAGCTTTAGTCTAATTAGATTGTTTCTTGTCCCTTTACAGCCACAGAAAATAAAAACTCTGTTCATAATATTTGCAGACAAATGATGTGGTTCCGTTGGCTTTGTCAAGTCATGACTTCTAGCTTGCACTGGGGCAGTAGGCGAGGGTTAGGAGTTTGGTCGTTTGGGACTCAGAGTAGAGTAAAGCCACTTCTACTCCACATAGAAAGGAGCCAGTTGAGGTGGTATGGCCATCTGCACAGGATGCCTCCTGGGTGAGATGTTTTGGCCATGTCCCAGGAGGTGGTGAGACAGCTCCAGGACAGACCCAGGACCAAGATTACATATGTGCGCTGCCTGGTGTTTATTTTGCTAATTTCTGTGGTTATTTCAGTTATTTTATATTGGGGTCAAAATTACCTCGACTGGTTCATCATATAAATCACAAACATATTTAAAATGACAGAAAACCACAGAAGTGGTAACATTGCCTGATAAAAAGCTGCAAGTTGCATTAAATATATTTTCATTTTGCATAATGGGCAAAACTAATGACATTAGTTGCATTATCAATGATGCTTTGGGAAGAAATAAGTTTTGCTTTTGTTATTATTTTGCTTCTCACAGCAAACGCCCCCATGGACCCCACACATACATACATATATATGACAGATGGATGAGGGTTAAACCAACAACTAATGATTATTGTTGAGATAATGTTAGTTAAGCAGTTTTCCAATGCATGTCTCCTTAGAAACGTCCTACTAATTCAGTTTTGGACAGATTGTTTGATAATCAAGTTTTAGTTACTTTCAAGTTGAACTACTGTAATCATATTCAATAAGAATGTGCCTTTAAAAAAACCTTTTAAAACTGAGACTCATCTCCACAGTCAACAAGACATATTCTGTAAAGGAATAAAGTGAAGTGTAGAGGCTATAAACATGACTTGAGTATAGAGTTAGTTCCACTTTAACAGGAGAGTTTGCTCAGTCCACAGTCCCAACTCAGCATAGCTTTTTTTTGTTGTTGTACTGTTGCCAATATGACCTCAACTAAAAATATGTTAGAGTCGGTTTTAAATTCATGGTCGTGCTGACTAAGATTTGGCAGTTGAGAAGGTTTTAGCCTGTTGGATTCAGTTTTAGTATCAGAATGCCCTTCAGTTAACTTCTCCTGAAATTTGTTGTAGTATATTTGTAGTAATAAAATAAAGGCAAAACCACTGGAAACACAGCTTACAGTTTTCATATAGCAGTGTGTACTTTTAGAAAATCAGCACATTCTGGATCTTGCAAGTACAGTTTAAAGACAAACTAATCTAGCTTTCTAATCATTCAATTGTCATTCATTGTCAAGAACTTTTCAAAACTTTAGTGCACACATTACACAGTTAACAGTGACCACGTATGTGTTCTACCTAAAATGCACAGGAGAGATATAAAACTGAGAAAAGGATGCCCCTCTTCTTCAAATCCTCCTGCTGATAAGGCTCTGTACATCCTGCAGATAACTGTCTGAAAATGTTTCTGTTAAGAATGCAGCACTTGCCAAAGCTCCTAAGAGAAAACAGTGTCTCTTTCATGTCGTGCTACCTACAAGGGAAGACAAAATAGAAGTCCACAAGACCAAGAACACAATCTATTTGTCCTGTCCTGCTGTTGCACAAAAGCCGAGACTTCTTGTATAAGGAAACTGAAGGTGGAGAAGAGAGGGGACATGTAGAGACAGGCGCCATCCCCTCATTTATGCACTGAGAGCCTTTCAGGGAAAAGCTGTGGGCCCACTGTGTTTTATTGCTAATGCCTCAGTGACTTCCAAGGGCACTTAGAGTTTAATCCTGGGATTTGCACTCCACTTGCTCACTTCAGACCCAAGCAAGGCCTCAGTAACAGGAGGGAGGGCCCCTGAGAGAATGTTGTTAGTGCCCCTTGTTGGTCTGATTTAGCTGTTTTCTTCTTCACCTCCTATTGAGCTTTGAGCAACGGCTAAACCGGCAAGACGAATGTGTGTTTACGCTTTTAAAAAAAGAAAGTAGTAAAAGAGAAAGGAGGAGATAGAGAAGAGGGGTGGAAAGAGCAATGTTCTTCCTTTTATTTTTTGTTCTTTGCAGTCCAAGACCTGGGTGGAAAAGCAGCCAAGAGGACATCATATAAATCAGGTTACCAGTAGCAACAGCACTGCTAGTGCTGAGCCCCTAACCGTCTTCCCGCTCATCTTCCTCTTCCACGTATCACCCAGCGCTCACCTTTTCAGATGTTTGTCTTCCACCCCTAAAAACCTCCTGCCTCATCCTCCTCCTCCTCATCAGCTTCTACTGTATAGAAGAGAGAAACAGAGAGATTCTTTATGTGTTCATTCCTCCCCAGCAACAGTGAAGCATTTGGTGGTCTTAACAGCAGAGCCCTGAGGCCAGGATACAGTAGAGAAGAAAAGAGTTATGAGGTGGTTTAAAGTGGGCAGAAAGGGCGAGAACGTGACAAAATGTAAAGTTCAGAGGAAGGCCGAGTAAGGGGGGTAACAGAGCTGCGAGAGCAATCTGAAAAGCCTCATTACATCTTAAATAGGTAATCCAGCCAGTAGGTGAGCACATTCCCATTAACCTGGCAGTGGGAATAACTTCCTCCAGGCTTATGGGTTATTACTTCCTTTCCCTTTACTGTAGGGCTATTGTTTATCCCCAGCTTGAAGTCATACACACTGCAGTGCTGACCCTGACATCTGACCCGGACAATACGTGCTATTGTCTCTTGGTTTCTGTCCATTCACAAAAGGAAGTGGCTAAAACTGGTATGTTAAGTGGACCTAAGAGAATACATATATTATGATATATTATTAAGAACCCCCATGAAAAGTTTTTTGAAATTTAATAAATGTACATTTGTGACATTATTTGAGTCCAAAGTTTGGATTGGCCATTGTTGGAAGTAATTAAAAGGCCAGTTTTTAATGTTTTTTATATGTATGATTTTTTCATTACTTATTATAATTGTACTAGTAATTATCTTTAACATGTAAGGCTACAAAAGTCCCGAGAAGTTCTCCAAACATGAAGTGCATGCTCTTCTGCTAACTTTTCTGATTAGATATTCTTCTGTTTCGATGAATTTTCCTTTTTTGTATGAAACTGCCCCATGTGGACTTTCTTCTTTTTATATTCTTAACCTACTGGTTATTCCTCTTTTTTTTTTTTTTTTTTTTTTTTTTTAGCTTCTTTTCAATCCTGACCTCATTAGCGTGGTGTTGAACACATTAGTTTAACAAGTAAAAGGTTTGATTCCAGCAGGAAACACAAATCCCTTTGGGGCTGTGTCAGTGAGGACATCTGGGGCAATCATGTACAGCTACCTGCTGTGATAAGCTTCTATCTCACTGTAAGTAGGAAATAAGTTAATTTGGAAGTCAAAGCTGTGGATGGAGAATCGCGTAAACAAGATTAAAAATCAAAGT